CAGATATTCTGCACATCCAACAAGTTCCCAGGAGATGCTGATGCTGCTGGTCTGTGCACCAAACTTGTGTAGCAAGGAACTGAAGCATAAAGCTGAAGTGACCCTGATGCCAGGTCTAGTAACAATACGAACAATTTATCTCTGACCCATAGAGTTGACCATAGAGTTGAATACATTCTGTGTCTTAGTTAACCTCCTAAATATTTGCTGTTGGCCAGGGGGAGGAGCTGCTGGTGACAGGGGAATGACTGGACTTGGTCTAGAGGGTATGTGGAATGGTGCTGGGATAGCTCCTATACTCCCATAATTCCTTAAGCTGTATCAGTTCATGAAATCATTTGATTTAATAGTCAATTTAAAATGTTAGCTCTTAGATTAAATTAGTTTAGCTAATTGGTTTGTTCAAAACAGGAAACTGCTGATAGGAGAGAGGGGTTGAGAGAAGCATGGGATGAGACTAAGAGTTTAAGAACTGAGGAAAATGAGGAAAGATATTTTGGAGTATATGACATTTCAGAGAATAAACAACTTGCAAGGGACAAAGGACAGTTCAGTAGAGAATGAGAATGAGGTTTGGCTGACCCAGTGGGGATTAGGGTATGTGGGCAGCCAGCTTGGAGTAGTTAGTCCTGGTACAGATGAATAACATCACTGATGACCAGGTCAGAATGTACATTCCATTGGTGGTGACCCAACTGCAACAGCATAATTTAAAAAAATAAAAGAAAAAAAAAACCTAACAAAACATTATTTCTTTTCAGGTAGATCTCTTCTGGTTTAGCAAGGAAGAAAATATTTCTCAGGGTTTATACCTGCTTGCAAATTGGGAATTCCAATTCCTAGAAATCTCTTACTTTCTGAGGCCAGTACAGTACCCTATTTTAAGAAAAGACAGAGAGATAATTCAAACTTGTTGGTTTACCACGTTGAATTACAAGTGGGGCCAACCAGGGGACTTGGAATAATTGAAAAGGAGAATCATTGTCCCAGAAACTTTTTGGGAAAGACAAAAAACATCAAACAAATATTTTGACCATTGTGTACGCTGGAAAATCCTGACCTTAGTAATCTGGTGCAGTTCAATGGGCATGGAAGTATTATAAACATCGTTTCCACTTCACAACCGAGATTTTTTTTAAAAAAACTATTTCATTTTCATAATTATTTTAAGTTCTTAAATGGTCTAGCCTATCTCTCTAGTAAACTCTGTAAGTTACATAAATCCCTTGAATGAATTTAAAAATTTTATTTTTATCTTTTAATGGTTTTGGGCATGAAACAGGCTGTTTTTTGGATGCCATGAAAAGCTCTTAGTGGTGATTTCTGAGGATTCTTGCGTGCACCCATCACCTGAGAGTGTCCTCTGTACCAATGGTAGTCTTTTGTCTCTAACCCCCCTTCTACCTCTTCCCCCTGAGTTCCTCAAAGTCCATTATACTCATTCTTATGATCTTCCGTTTCATCATAAGCTTAGCTCCCGCTTATAATTGGAGAACATACGATGTTTGGTTTTCCAGTTTCCCAAGTTATTTCACTTAGAATATGGTCCCATCCAGTTGCTGCAAATGCCATTATTTCATTCCTATTTATGGCTGAGTATATACATTGGTATGTAATACCACATTTTCTTTATCCACTGGTGGTTATAGCATTCTGAGGATGGTTCCATATTTTATGCAACTGTGAAAATTGTGCTGCTATAAACCATACGTGTTGCAATTGCTTTCACATAACAATGACTTCTTTTCCTCTTGGCCAGATACCCAGTAATGGATTGGTGGATCAATATGGTATTCAACTTTTAAGTTGTTTAAGGAATCTCCACACTGTTTTCATAATGCTATACTAGTTTACGATCCCACCTAGCAGTGTAAAAAATGTCCCCTTTCACCACAATTCACACCAACATCCGTTATTTTTTGATTTTTTAACTATGGTCATTTGAGGAGTAAGTGGTGGTCTCCATTGCTGGTTTGATTTGCATTTCCCCTGATAATTATAAAAAATTAATTTTCTGGAGCTTTTTCATTGTTTGTTGCTGTTTGGATATCTTCTTTAAAGAATTCTGTTAATATTCATTGCCCACTTTTGATAGATTTATTATTAGTTTTTCTTGCTGACTGTTTGAATCCTGTAGATTCTGGAATTACTAGCTTAGATCATAGTTTGACAAACATTTTCTACCACTCCTGTGGGTTGTCTCTTACTCTGATGATTATTGTCTTTGCTGTGCAGAAGCTTTTTCCTTTAATTCGTCCCATCTAAGTCTGTTTGCCTGATATGAGTAATAGCTACTCTACTTGCATTTTGATTTCCATTGCATGGAATATCTTTTTCTACCCCTGTTACATTAAGTTTAATGTGATCCTTAATGCCACTGTAAGGGATCCTCTTAAAGACAGCAGTAGACTTGGTGTGGATTGGAATTATTCTGCCATTCTGTATCGTTTAAGTGAGTATTTAGCCAATTACATTCCAATGTTAGTATTCAGTTATGAGTACTGTTTATATCTCATTGTGCTACGTTGTTGGCCTGAAATAGAA